GGGCGCCTCTTCCAGACGGCCTTCCCCGCGCCGCACGGGCCCAGCCCGGCATCCCGCTACGTGCAGAAGCTGCCCATGATCGGCCGCACCGGCCGCCCGGCTCGCCGCTGGGCGCTCTCGGACTACTCGCTCTACCTGCCGCTCTGAGGCGGGCCCGGAAGTGGCGTCACCGCGCTCGCGGCCGCCCCGGGTGAGGCGGGGCTTAGACGGTTGGCTCCCGCGGCAGCGCTTCCGGGTGGCGAGGGGGCTATGGCGTTGTCCTGGCCGCAGCGTGTCGAGCTCGTGCTCTTCGCTGCCGCCTTCCTATGCGGGGCTGTGGCGGCCGCGGCGCTGACTCGGACCCAGGTGCGGCTGCTGGGTGGAGATATCCTTGGGATTGGGACGGGCAGGCGGGTGGCTGTCCAGCCCGGAGACGCCTTTTGGCCCTCTTTTGGACCCTCCGGGCCTGGCGCGCGGTTTCTCGGAACCAGTGAGTTGGGCGAGGCGGGCGTTGCCTTGCGGCGGAGATGCAGCGACGCTAACCGAACTCTGCAAGCCTCGCCCAGCCAGGGCATCTTTCGAAGTCGTTTCTTTTCACAAAGGGGGCGAGTCCTCAGGAACGTCATAAGTGCGCCAGACGTAGCTGAGCCCGGTGGCTCCGGCTGCCTAACTTTACCCTGGCTCTGGACCAGAAGTCGGTCCAGCCCCTGCCTACATCCTTTAAAATCAGATACCATTTGTGCGGACCTGTGGCGAGAAATTAAGCATAGTGTAGTGGAGCTGGACAAACTGTCACGTGATTGCAACGTGTTAAATGGGAAAACTTGTAAAAACGGCTTGTGTAAAAAACCTGCCAGGCAATCTGGTTAATAAATACGTTGTTATATGCATGGGGTCATTTAATCTATATGAAGTAGGCTCTCTCACGTCTACTTTACGGATTAGAAGACTGTGAGGTAGTTTCTTGTTGGAAGACTACACGAAGTTTGGGTTTATGGTGGGATTTCTGCAGAGGGGGGACCAGCACTTGCAAGGTTTCCCTGAAGCTGGTATTGTGTGACTACTGCCTACCTCCTGATCCTGGCCACTGCAGGTTTGATTCCCCAGCAGGCCCTCTACACTCACCTGCCTGACCCCAACCAGGAAGTGACGGTGCACCAGAGCTTCCCAGGGTGGTCCTGGCCTCCCTACCGCCGTGAGCCTGCGCCCAGAGGCACTGACCTGAGCTTGGGTCTCAGCGGCTTCTTTCCACAGGGCTCCTTCAGTGGTAGCTGCCCTCTGTATGGTGTGGCCGCCCTGAATGGCTCCTCACTGGCCTTATCCCATCCTTCGGCCCCATCCCTCTGCTACTTTGTGGCTGGGGCCTCTGGCCTCCTGGCCCTCTACTGCCTCCTGCTTCTGCTCTTCTGGGTCTACAGCAGCTGCATCGAGGACTCTCACAGGTGACTGTCTCAGTCTGAAGGTCAGGGGGTGAGGTGGAAAGAGTTCCATCCCAACCACAAGGCTCTTCCCTTCCTTCAGAGGCCCGCTTGGGCTCCGCATCGCGCTGGCCATTTCAGCTCTAGCTGCCTTCCTGCTCTTAGTGACCGCCTGTATTCTTCGGTTCGGCACCAGTTGTCTCTGCAAATCCATCATCTCCTTGAGTGCTGTAACTAGGTAATGGGAGGGGAGGGAGGTCTGGGTAGGGCTGCTTCCCTTCCCTGTGCAACAGGGGCCCTAGCCTCCCTTCTTACCGCTTCACTCAGTTTCATGCTAATGACCCTGGGCACAGACTGCTTAGGGTTTATCTTCCCCCAACTCCGTGCCCCTTTCTCATCAACTGTCTCTTTGACCTCACAGTTGCCCCGAAGCCCAGAAAATTTCATGGACACCCCCTGGAACCGCCGTGCAGTTTTACTCCAACCTCCATAACGCTGAAGTGAGGCCCTGGGCTATGAAAGAATGAGGGAGACCAAGGGACACACCGGGAAACTCATGAATTCATATCTATAGCTGACAGGGTGCCCCTGGCACACCGCGAGCTTGGCCCACCAGTGACAGGCAGTCAGCCTGACTGAGCAGGGAAGAGTGGTGTGTGTGGGGGAGGAGCCGTGTTTGAGATGCCCTCACTCTTCACGCTCCCGCTCTTGTCTCCCACAGACCGCCTCTTGGGTGAATCTGGTACTGTGGTGTGTGATCCTGGTGCTGCAGGCTGTGCAGTGGAAGATGGAAACCGCCCCATGCCCACCTCTGGCCAAGAGGGACTCCGAGTGGAGCTCTGAGACAGATGCTCTGTTTGGGCCTCGCCCTCCCCATTACTGAAGGGCAACCAAAGATGGCGCTTCCTGCAGCCAAAGTCTCCATGCCCAAGTGCCTGCAAGCCGCCTGCCACCCGTGCAGCCCTGTGGATGCCGGCAGCATTTACCCTCCACGAGGGAAACGTGACAGCAGCCCCCTCTCATCTCACGGCTGTTTTTGTACCAAAATATTACTAGACTTTCTTCCTTCATCTTAGTCCTGAGTCTTTGGTGTTAAGAACATTGGAGGCAGGTGGGTGGGTGGGAGGAAGGCATGAAGGCTCAGCAGACATGGATGAAAACTCGGATACTCACACCGTCTCTCTTGGGAGCATCTGGGACAATCAAGCCTTTATTTTCTGTTTATGAATCTCAAGCCTCCTTGTGTGACCCTGGTTGTCATCCCATCCCTGAGGTTTAGTCTGTACCCCTCTGAAGGGTGAGTACCCCAAGGTTTACCCCTTTACAAGCTCCGATAGGCACCCACAGTAGTGTCAAAGAGTTGCGTGTTGGGGAAGTGTCCAGCTTTGTCCAAGAGGAAGTAGAAGCGCCGGCCTTTGATCTTCAGAGGCAACATGGCAGGGACTTCACCCCTGTGAGCCATGCAGGAGACTTGGTTCAGGGGTACAGTGAAGTGAGCCCCCAAGCCAAAGGGGGCATGAGTGGTGAGGGTCACCTGCTGCCCTCCAGCCCGCAGTATCACTGAACGCACAGAACGGAGGGAGAAGACCAGACCAGCACCGAGTACCAGGGTCCCTGCGGGAAGAGCAGACTCAGTGGAGGGTAACCCACCACCCCTCCGGTGTCACTGAGGCGAAGAATCGCTGCACTGCCGGTAACACCGAGCTCTTCTATCCCAGAGCCCTGTCATTCATTCCTCCCAACCTTAATCATGCAGCATACACGCTGAGGCGGCGGACTAGGTCTGCAGCCCGTTCTTCCCAGGGTTTGCAGGGCGGGTTGCGAACTCCAGTGCTCCGCGCCTCCAAGGGGGTGGCCCCCCGCCACCCTCTCTCTCATCCCCTTATTTTCCCGGCCTGAGCAGCCACTCACGTTCCCAAGGCGGGAAGCCAGCCCACGCCTTACCAATGGCGCCGCAGCCCACGGCCAGACTGTAGCGCCAGAGCGCAGAGCGTAAGTGAAAGCGGCTGCGCTCTGGGGCCTCCGCAGCCGACGGTCGGGTCAAGGCTGCTACGGCCAGGGAGGACCAAAAGACGCCCTGGCCCGCGCAGAACAGTCCAAGGACGGCGAAGAAGCGGCCCCGCTCGTGCTGGAAGAGCAGCACGTCCCGGGCCGGGCCGGTGTCGTGCAGCACCCGGCCCGCGAGCAGAGGCCGCAGCGCTACGGGCAGCCGTAGGGAAGCCTGCTTCCAACACGCCGCCATAGCGCCGACAGGCCCGCCCCTTCCGGGGCGGGACTTCCTGTCGGCTGGGCCCGCCCCGACCTTCCACCCTGGGTTTATGCGGTTACCCGGAGCAAAGAAGCAGGTGCCAGAGCACCACTCAAAGCCGTACAAGACGAAAACAATCCAGTGCCCAGGACACAAGTAACAACGTCACTCTTTATCTTAAAAAGTACAGAGGAGTTTGGGGTTAAGTACACAAAGCACCTAGGTCCTTCGGTTTAGTGTCAGTTCTACAAAGTATGCTTTGGCTTCCTGGCACCACTGAGGCTCAATCTCCCGGAAGTCTTCCAGAAGGCAGGAGCGGAGAGGGATCAGCAGCCATCCCTCCGCAGTCACAGTCACAGGTGGCCTCAGGCCAGGGTGGAGGAGACAACCATGACGCCACGTCTGAGGGCTATTTACAGGGGCTTCTGGGGAACTGGAATCACTTCATGAACGCCACTTCCGGAATCTTGCCCTCAGCCTGGAGAGAGAGGAAAGGTCAGAAGGCCTGTCTCACCCTCTCCACTTACCTGGCCTCCTTTAAGGCCCAGACATCCCGTCTGGTTGCCACCGCATTTCCAATTACCTTCAGTTGCGTGAAGACCTGTGCAGATCTGGTGTAGTCCCAGTCGTTGTCCAGAAGGCACCTGGGTCAACGGGGGGAGTGTGGGAATGCACTCACTTTAACCTCTGAATGCCATTTCAAAACCTACTTTGTAAGAAACACTGCCTCCCCACAACATTTGCCAACAACTGTACACCTAAGTCCTGTCTCGTTAACAGCCATTTTTCTCATTTACGACTACAATAAAAAAAACCTATTTTGCACGTTAGCAACACGACAGATGCCAGGATGCGAGCGGAGAATTAATTCAGTGGCTGTGATGGTTGAGGTCATGTGTCAACTTGGCAGAGCCAAGGTCCCTGCGTGGTGCAGACAGTCTGCACTCGGCTGGTAACTGAAAGATTGGTGGTTGGAACCCACTCAGTGGTACCATGAAACAACTGGCTTCTGTAAAAACTGCAGCCAACTCTACTGTGTCACTAATGGAGTCTCTCCAAATGAACACCTCAACAAACAAAGGAACACCTCAACTGGCTGGGCCACGGTTCTCAGTGGTTTGGCAGTTACCTATGATGTCATCTGGCAGTTTATAATGATGTGGTCACCCTTCTTTTTGATCTGATGTGGGCATCCTCCATTTTTGCATGATGCCCGATATTCCTGTAACTAACTACCTGAGGTGCAGCCAATGACTTGGTGTGGCTTTTCTAGCCACAGTCTTTATAACTCCCTCCAGATTACTGGGTGGGACCAAGCAAATAAGGTGTGTAGAACTCCGATTGGGACTGATTAGTTTGTTACTCTGCCAGGCTTAAAATGAGCCTTTCTAGAGGCAGAAAAGGGGATCTCACTGCCATCAAGAGAGGAGAGCTGGAGGTGAAGTAGAGTGCATCCTCGGACCCAAGATCCCTGCACCGGACCTGCTTGGCAGAGACACTCTGGCAGAGACGGTCACGGTGGAACCAAGAGGCATGAGAGAGAGCGGCAGGCTTACCCAGCCCGGAGAGTGAGAAAGCCGAGTGCCCTTGGGCAGGAGGCTCGCTGACGGAGTAGGGTGAGCTACGTGTACCTATCGGCAGAGCGGAAGCAGCTCTGTTGACACCTGCCAAGCAGAGGGCACAGCAGAGGGAGGCTGTCCTGGTGGCAGACCTGTGTCTTCTGGCGTTCCTGAACCCGAGTTGTAGCCTGTTATTTCCCTAATAAAGCCCATAATCCTCAGTCTCATCTGTGAGTTCTCTGTGGCCACTGTAACAAATTACCAAACCCAGCAGAAAAGCAGCAGTGCCATGGGAGGGGCGGGTGGTGTGAGATAAAGGGCCAGAGGGTGGCCTCATAGGAATAAGCCCTTGGGCTGCTGTTGGTGAGTTTATTTTCCTGTTGTGAAGTTAGAGGAAGTCATAAGAGGTGGGCCTCCACGACCTTTCTGCACCACCTGGTCTCTGGAACCTGACCTTATCAGTTAAGTGAGGACTGGGTGGGTATGTACGTTCTTACATGTCCTTGAGCTATTGATACAAATTGTAAAAATCCAAGTGTCTCTCTCTCACTGCTGTCTTCCAGTCGGCTCTGACTCATAGCGACCCAGCCTTGGGTTTCTGAGGCAGTACCACTACTGAACTGGATTGCCCCATCTTCCTTCTGAGGAGTGGCTGGTGGGTTTGAACCGCCAGCCTTCTGGTTAGCAGGCAAATGCCTTAGGCACTATGCCACCAGAGCTCCCAATGTCTGTCTATGGCCCATCAAATACAAAGAACTATTAAACAGCTGTCAAGAACAAGATAGTTTTATACTACCAGGAGAAAAAAAAATGTTCATGCAAGTTGCAGAAGAGTATGCACATAGAGACTTCATTTTGGCTTTAAAATCTGTTATGCTAATTTACGCAAGGCAAATTTTTCAGCCATTTTTTAAATTATAATTTTAAAAATATCTATTCACCCATATTCAAGCCTGTCTCTTAACTATTTTCCCTCCCTTCCCCACCCCAAGAACCACTTTTTTTTAAGCAACAGAAAAGGTTTGTTTGGTTTTTAAAATTTCAGGAGCTCTTACTATTCACTACTTGCCCACCTCAGTGCACCCCCATGCCTACACATGGCCAGCACTCACTTCTGGGACCACTCGAGGTTCATGCCGGACTGGGTAGAGAATGCCTGCAACATCTCCTGTTGCTCCGGAGACAGGGTGGGCACTGGGCTGGAGGAAGGCGTGGGAGCAGGCATCGCGAAAGCTCTTTGGATCTCTTCGGGGCTGGCATTCCGCACAAACAGCTCGTCGTTTACAATGCACAGCCTTGGGGACAGAAAGCACCTTGGAGAGCTGGGCCTCCACCTCAGCCTCACGTCGTTCCTGTGCCCACCGATGCTCAACACTCAGGGTCCTTCAGTTCCCACAATGTCCTCTTCCCGTCCTACCTGTTAGCTTTTACCGTTTAGCCCCACTGACGGACTCCAGGTTTAGAGGGATTCTTTCCCACAACCCAAGGAACAGTTCTTAGCCCTCATTCACCAAAGACTTGGGCAGTGAATACTGTTACAACAACTAGTGGCTGAGGAAATGTCCCCGCAGCTGCAGGTGGCAGGGCCAGGATGAAAACCAGATGGTCCAACTGCAGAGCCCCAGCTCTCGGCCCCCACCTTGACCACCTCCTCCGACCACCCGCCGGCTTTCTGAAAGGCTGAAAATATCTCCCTGAGGAGTCACTCCGCCCCCAAATGCCCCTCTGTTGGCCATGGACCGGGACCGGTGCTCCCCATGGAAGCTGAGCACTTACCCGGAACTGCTGGCAGGAACTGCAATGAACGTCCGGGTGAAGGCTCGCAAAGAATCCCGAGACTTCCCGTCCACTGTAAAGGGCAGAGAGGGCCCCGAGCTGTCGCTTTTACGTTTACCACTTTTGAGTCGCGGTCTTATTTGATACAAAGGGGCAAAGGAAGCCAGAGAGGGACGATTATGGACTGGGAAGCAAAGGTAAAGTGTCACAAGTCACAGAGGACAGTAAGAGTAACAACTGTTATCTCACTGACAGAGCCCTGTGTGCCAGGCCCTGTATCAAGCACTTCATGAGGCCTTGCACTTACTCCTGCAGCCCCACTACCAGATGGCCTTATTAAGCCGCTGTACAATATTCTAAGGCACAAAGCTCATGTAACTTGCCAACAGACACAAGGCTAGCAGCCTGGGATGGAAACTCAGACCCACCTGGCTCCAAACACCCAAACACCCACCTGTCTTCCTAATCCCCGGGCATCTGTCATACCCGAGACAGGAAAGACAGGTGAGAGGCCACGCCCAAGCAAGGGGAGGGAGTCAGGGAACAAAAGGCAGCCGGCAAGCTGAGTGGGAGGAAAGAGCTGGGGAGAGGCCCACTCTGCCAACTCAGGAACGGCATCAAATAACTCTCACCTTCCTTGAAGATGCCATTGACTGAAAAACACAGCAACGTGCTCTGAAAGAGAAGAGATGTCAATGACGATGTAGGCTGCCCAGGCAGGGCCTCAGCCTCTCACTGCTCACCCCTCAGTCCCTGACGCTGAGCTTCTGCCAGGAAGAACAGCTGCTTACAGTCTGGGCGCTTATGTCCACCACGAAAGAATTGATGTCATGCTGAGTTTTGGGTAACTCATTGAGGAAGGCAACAACATTGAGCCGTGTGTGCTTCAGCAGCCGGAACCGCAGGCCTGTGCACGAGCGAGAGACCAAGAGTGGGGGCCGAGCCTGATGACCGCATGCTCAGCCCTTCTCCCACCCTGCCTGGCTCCCATCACACACTTACTAGGGTCTTTAAGCTTCTTCACATTCCGGCTATCCTTGAAGTACTCGGCCAAGCTGCTTCTGGGGATAAAGAGGAAAAGGGGGCAGTGGTCAGAGCAGTATGGCTGCTGGCAGGTGCTGGCCTGGATCCACTGGGAAGCCCTGGGGTTCTGGGCAGGTTCTGGGAGGGGATACCCACCGGTTTGGATTCTGGGGGGTGATAGGAATGCTCAAGGAGCAGCAAGACCCATCGTGGTATGCATCCAAGAGGCCCTGCCGGTCTCCAGAGTCATAAATTGCATAGTATCTGTGTGGAAATAGAAGAGCAAGTCTGAGCTCCTCAGTCCAGAGCCAAACCCATTGCTGTCAGGCCCGTCTGACTCACAGTGACCCTATAGGACAGGACAGACTGGAACTGCCCCGTAGGGTTTCCAAGGCTGTTCTCTTTACAGAAGCAGACTGACTCATCTTTCTCCCAAGAGAGCAGCTGGGGGTTTGAACTGCGAACCTTTCAGTTAGCAGCTGAGCATTTAACCACTGCACACCCAGGACCTTCTCTCAAAAGCTCTCAACTATGTGCTTGGGGTGACCACTATTACATACGCAACCCAAAATAACAGTAATGATAATTTAAGGCGGATGCACAGATAGACGCTCAAACTGAACAGGGGTGGGAAGGTGAATGGAACCACACCCAGGAATACACAGATAGGCCTGACTGAAGCTGCCGTGACCCACGTATTTATGTGTGCTGCAAATATATCCGTGCATGCATTAGAGCACACGGGCGACAAGGTTATAGAAATGTCTTAGTCATAACCAGACACCCTGAGGGAATGAGTTGCTGGGTATGGAGGGTCAAGACCACAGTCTCAGCGGACACTGAGGTCAATTGGTGTAACAGTCCACAAGACAGCATTCTACATCCTACTTTAGTGAGTATTGACTAAGGTCTTAAAAGCCTGTGAGTGGCCATCTAAGGTACGACTATTGGTCTCACCCCACTCTGAGCAAAGAAGAGTGAGGAAAGTCAGAGACAGAGGGAAACAATGACTCCAAAGGACGCATGGACCATGTGAAGCCCAGCCTCCAGGGCCCTGCCAAGAGAAGACCTAGAACGACCACTGCCGACGCTCTGAAAGGGGCCACAGGAAGAGCACCCATACAGAATGGGGGCAAATGTGGAACAAAACTCCAACTCAAAAAAAGACCAGGCTTACTGGTCAGATGAGGACTGGTAGAACCCCTGAAACTATGGCCTGCAGACACCCTTCAACCTAGTGGCTGAACTTAACCTCCATGATTCAACAGTCAGCCAAACAAAAGACAGGCCTGTAAGGTGAAGAGTACTATCAGGAGGTATACACTTGTTAGAATAATCCAGCACATGTGATCAAGAGGACGGCTCTTGCCCAGGGACAGAGCTAGGAAGGCAGGAAGGGATGGGAAAGAAGGATGAAGGGAAGGGGGTGGGCACAGGGACAAAGTGCTGCGGTGGGGGGTGGGGGCGTGGAGAACAAGCGAGCACGCACTGGGCCCGTGAGCTCCGAGGCTGGGGCTCTGGGCACTTACTGATGTAGGAAGTGCAGGACCAGACTCTTCAGGTTCTCTGTTCCAAAATAGCTTCCCTGGAAGCAAACAGGCTGTTAGGAGCATGGGCCCAATGCTCTCCCCACCACAACTCGGAAACCTGGCCCGCGGCTCACCTTGCAGGGAGGCAGCATCGTGGGAGCTTCAACGTCAAAGGCAATCGGCGGGGGTAACTCGTGGCCATCCTGGGGAGGGAAGTGAACACTGACAGCACAAACCAAGGGAATGCTGGCTAAGCAAGCAGGAGCGGGAGCTAACAGCGTGGGGCCAGAGGCTCAGCGTAAAGGAGGCACAAGAAACACACAGGCCAGAGCACTCAGGGCTCTCAGCCTCGGAGCCCTGACCCGTGTAGCCTGTGCTCACAGGCAGCTCTCTGCAAATGACTGCCACCTTGGTCAGATTCTCAAAGGGGTCCGTGTCCTCAAATTAATGGTCAGACAGTAACACATCAGGCCAGACCTCGGATGTTGGAGGAGAAGTCGTGCACGTTAGCAGAGAATTGAAAAGGTTACAGACTTACCAGGCGTAGTAACTTGGGGAATCGCTCACGGACAGCGCTGTCAAGAACGGGACAGAAGTAAGTGGCGTCTCAGAGCCACCGTGCCTCCTGGGCTGCTCTAGGAGCAAATACACCAACACCCGAGGGACAGCCCAGCCCATCCTGCTCGTCCCCCAACGCCTCCCTAGCCTCTGAGCTCAGGGGAAAATGGCCCTTGAGCTCCTACCCCACACCACCCGGGGCACCCAGAAACGGACTGCCTTGAAGGCTGACTCTCTCTCTCACTGCCTGACCCTGAGTGCCACAGGAGCAGCACCCCCAGCCCAGGCTTTAAGCCCAGGCCCTCCTTCCCCTCCCTGCCCCCCTTACCTTCCACCTACTCACCTGTGCAGCCCCGGGAGGAGGGAATGGGGTGGGAGCCCAGGGGCTCCGCTGCCTCACCAGGTGTCCATCATTTCTGCCAAGTCTGGCCTTGGCCAAAACCAGGACACACCACAGGGATGGCACAAAATGTTGGGGCAGGGAGATGAGCAAGGCAAGGCTCAGGAAAGGGGAAGCAAAGAAGAGAGAAAAGGAAGAGAAAGAAAAAAAGTAGGATGGAGCAAGTGAAAGGGAGAGATGGGGAGACACAGAGAAGAGAAACAGGAAAGAGAAAGCAAAGGAAAAGAGGAAGCGCTACAAAGCAAGGAGGCACTTAGACAAAAAGAGGAAACACAGGGCCAAGGCGCCCTGCCACACACAGCCCTTTCCTTCAGCTCTGCCCTTTCCCCAAGCTCCAAGGCAGAAATGGGAAATGAATCCTTGCTGCGGTGCGTGGGCAGCGGCTGTTGGCCAGGTCTCTGTCTGCTACCTGGGTCCCGCTCTGAGCTGGGTGTGGGAAACAAAGCAGCCACGGGGGCAGGAGACCTCCCTCAGAAGAGGTGAGGGTTCAGACTGCTGCAAAGTTGGGGGGGTGAGGGTCTGTGCCCCACCTCTGTTGGCCCCCAAGTTCTCTCCTGATGGCCCCTCTGCGACTGTGCCTGTCTTAGGTTGTTCCTTCCCTGAGGAATCTTACCCGTCTCTGGCTAACCAGCCATCCTCCGGGGCCAAGCAGGGTGATGTGAGGAGTGACGTGAGGGACGGGCAATGCCCTGCCTCCACTGCGAGCGTCACTTCTGTCTCCTTGGTAGCTTATGCCCCCGTGGCCTCCACGCCCAGCAGCTGCCTTGGGATTCCCTCGCCAACTGGCGGGGCCCCGGCTCTGGTCACAGGTCTTGGGGAACCCAGGTTCTTTGCTCCAGGGAGGGGCCAGCTCATAGCACCGGGCAGAGACAGAGTGCATGGCACCAGCCCTCAGGAGGCCCCAACCTCAGCACGGCCAGGAAAGCCCAGGCATTAGTCTTGAATACGCAGATGGGAGAAAAGGGTCCCTCTTGGCACTAGGGCAAGAGAGGCCATCACAGGACAAAGGAAAGAAGGCCTGTTTCAGCAGCAAGTCCCCGAGAGGGAGGGTTTTCTCAGTCCAGGGATACCAGGCTGTTGGCGCAGGCAACCCCACAGATGGGACATGGACAAGACACCCCCGGGTCATGGCAGGTCATCTTGGAACAATAGAGTAGGGAGATTCTAGAAAAGGCTGTGTGCAGGAAGGAAGGAGAAAGGCCACAGAAGCAGGCAAATGGGTGGGCAGGTGAGAAGGAGGAAAGGAGACCAGGGGCAAAGCTGGAAGACATGGACAAGAGAATTCTACGATCCTCCCAAAGGACAGGTGGCTCCAGCTCAGGGCTGCACATCTCCTGCAGATGGTACTTGTCAGGGGGTGTTAGCTCAGCCTCCCGGGGGGTGAAGGTCCCCAAGAGGGGAGACAGGGGCTACAACGGACCTGATGTAGGTGGACTGGTCTCGAAAGGTGTCACACAGGGGGTTTCCGTCAAGCCACAGCTCTTCTAGCTTCAGCCCTTTTATCTTGTCCAACTCCCGCTCAGACTTCAACTACAGAGGACGGGGAGACGACAGGAGGGAGTTAAAGAGACTGGTGAAGATAGCCAGCAGGTCCCTACACCCCGAGTTCCTACACTCCCGAGTCCCTTCCCTTGCCTCTCCTCATCACCAGGCAAGCCCTCCCCACCCTTCTCCCACCTCACTAAAAACACAACCAGGCTCTCAATTCTCACCTCATTTCCAGAGAGGTTGAGGATCTTTAGACTGGGTGCCTTCTGTACTATGTTGGACAGATCATCCAGGCGGAATAGCCTATTGTTGCTCAAGTTCAAAGATAATAGCTATAAAGAAAGCATTATTTAGACAAAAGGCCATCAATGAGGGGATGTGAGACCAATCTGTACCCTCAACCCCATCCTACTTCCTCAAGCCTAACACTGGACCAAAGCCTCACCTCAGGGATGTTCTCTTCAATGATTCGCAGGGAAGCCACCATACAGCTTCTACGATTCAGAACCACATCAATGTTCTGGGCCACCAAATCTTCAGGAGGCAGAAAAGAAGGAAAGATTACTCTGAAAGGGCTTGCCCAGGCCAGCATCAGTACCACACCACTCTCACACCTTCCCTCCCTAAGAGGTCCCTCTCTGCCTCCACCTGTCTTCAGAATCACCACCATCAACCACACCTGGGTCGGTACGGAGGCCCTTGAGGTCAAGTGCTTGTTGGGAGCCATCATATCTTTTGCTCATGATTAGCTGCAGAGGAAGAAAAAGGGGTCAGTGGCCACTGGGGTCATGTGTGGGGATGGGGTGTGGGAAGCTGCAGGAGTACTAGGGTGGCAACAGGTTACGTGGGCCTGACTCACCTTTAGCTGCTCTACTTGTTCTGGCTTCAGCTCATTTTGCACAGTTTGGGGCGGAGCAGAGGAGTTGATGATGATTGATATCTGCAGGGAAAAAAACAAAGGGCGGAGTAAACCCCATGGAAGTCTAAGCCCCAATGCTAAGACCCAGTCCTCGCCCTATGCACCAGTTCCCACACGTAGCCCTTTATACACACCCTTCGGTTCTCCCGATCAACAATCTTATAGTTTACAGCCTTCAGTGCAGAAGCAGTGCTGGCATCCTCAACAAAAAACTGGGCCCGCATGTTCTCGTAGTGAAACTGTAAGAAGAGGGAACAAGAGCAGTAGACTTGGAGCCCAGAGCCCCTTGCCCAGGTGGCCCCTCTACCGTTTGCCACGGAGGCCTTTGCTTACCTCGATGGGCGTGAAGGGAACACTGCACTTGCTCTGAATCAAGCTCAACAGCCACGCCTTGTCATACTTTCTGCCATAAGGAATCTAGACATGAAAGAAAAAAGAGGGGAACGACATACAAGTGGGGGGAGGGCAGACCCAAGCCAGTGCTCCTTACAGCCTTTCTGACAAGCTTGAAGGATTCTCTGAAGGAAGGACTAGACATACGCTTACTACTTAAACCACATACAAAAACCCCCTAACCTCTATACTACGTGCTTTTACTTATTATTCCTCAGAAGAATCAAAGTTTTGGTTCTAAAAGCTCCAAGATATTGTTCACACCTCGCCTGCCCCTCAGAGAACTCCAGGGATTCCCAGTCTAAACTGGGCTTCAGGCAAATGGAGACATCCGGGAGTTTCTCCATCTCCCCACTAGGTACCATGTCTCCCTGTAGACGGCCTGTCCGTTCTCCACAGCATGCCGTCCTCTTCTACTCCTCCTCCCTAGACCCGCTCTTCCATGCTCTAAGATACTGATTCTTAGAGGAAAAGACAGACACTGACTGTAAGCAGTCGAAAATACCGATTTTGTGGACTAAACAGTAACTACCTTCACTCTGAGCCCAGCCCTCTCTCCTCTACACTATCTACTGTTCCAAGGTACTCACTGTAATCTTGAACCAGTTCTTCGAGGTCCCATCCTGGCTGGTGCCAGCTCCCGCCCTCTCTACAGGAGCTCTGTCTCTCCGCACAGTAACATGGATGCGATCTCGATCATGCCAGTTCTCGCCACGACGGTTGGGTCGGGCAGCATAGGGGTTGCTGGGAAGAAGAGAAGAAAGTCCTTAGATGCCAGGAAAGTCTTTTCAAAGACCTCCACACACTGCTACAGCTGAGACTGTTGCACCATTAGGCTGATCCCGGTCGTTTCTCATTCTTCAAGGTCGGAAAGATGGTGGTACGAACAGTTAAGAGGGTGGGATAATCCTGTGAATTACTGGATTTGAACCAGACCAACTGGTCACTTACTATCGCACTCGAGGACCATCCTGGGCATCAGTCATTGCCACATCTCCATCTTCCTCCTCAAGGCGGGAAGACCGAATACCAGAATTGCCTCTTCCAGATCGACGGTTCCCCGTCCACCGGAAAGGGCCCCGGCCTTTCCTTCTTCGAGGGAGACTAACGCGGTCATCGTGCTCTGGATTAAAAACAGAATACAAATGAGAAGACACACCACTGGTCCAGCTCCCCGGGTGTGGCAACCACAGAACCTACCAGCCTGCATAATGGACGAGATACCCAGCTGAAGTCTGCTGTCTCAGCCTCCCACATCTACTCACGCTACTCGCTTCTCTCACATGTACTAACCTAACAGAGCCACCTCCACGCAAATGCCTGTCTGTCCAGAGAAAACAACCCTCTCTGAGAGACAATAGCTTCGGGGAAAAATTCTTGGAAAACTTTTTAGGACTTTTGAAAAAGGAAGCAGAATTTGGAATTACAGAGAGAAGCTGACAGTGGAGGTGTGGGTAACCCAAAAGGATAAATGGACCCAAACCAGACCTCGGAAAGTCACCTGAAGTCTACTCTCTCTCAGCCTCCCAAATCTACTCGCGCATGCCTGACTTCCCTCAGGCCCACTAACCTACCTAACTAACCACAATGTTTACATCAGCTTCTGTCAGCCAAACGTCAACTACAAATATGATCAATTCAAGGGCCACGGAAAAACATGTCCCTGCCCTCAAGCTGCCACTCTGAAGTTCTGTGGGTGAGTTCTCCCTTTTGCCCGCCTGCGATGCCTTTTGCTCAGGAAACAACTCCCAGACTCAGGTGCTAGTGTGTGGTTCCAGGTTCCAATGGATGCTTAAACACCAGGGCCTTCAATGCGCTGCAGGGATAGGACCCTTGAACGCGGATTTGTAGGAGTGGCTTCTTAAAAAAAATAAAAAAATCACGATTTCCCCAAAGGTCTGCCTAAAGCCTGTTGTTGTTATTGTTATGTGCTGTCCAGTCGGACCCGACTCCTAGAGACCCCTCCTTGGGTTTCGGAGGCGGTATCACTATGGAAGTAGATTGCCCAACCTTCCTTCCGAGGAGTGGCTGGTGGGTTTGAACCGCCAGCCTTCTGGTTAGCAGTTAAGTGCCTTAGGCACTATGCTACCAGAGCCTAAAGCCTAGTACCCTGCACACAACGAACTTCGACAAACGACCCGGAGAAGAGAAAAAAGAAATCGCGACAGCAGCTAACATGCAGTGAGCTCCTCCTCCAGTGCCAGGCTCTGCGCTCCCGGAACCTGACTTAAATAACCTCCTTCTCTCTCTCTGAACCTGACTTGAATGACCTCTTTCTGTCTCTGTCTCTCTCCCTCTCTCTCTCTCTCTCTCTCACACACACACACAAACACACACACACACGGTAAGTACTGTTACTACCGTAGCACGGCGACGGAAGATGAACCCTGAGCGTTTAATTAACTCAATGAAGCTGGGTGCAGCCGCATCAGGATTCAAACATCGGCTGTCATGTGCTCCTAACCACCACGCCGGACAAAACCCAGGCGGACCAGAACATCCAGGTGATGTGTAGGAGGTCCGTGATCTTAAACCCAAACGGCAGGAAAAGGAACAAGACTGCCTGGACGCGGCAGAAAACAGGGCACCAGGACAGCCCCGGCACAGACACTGAGTCACATTAGTCTGGCCGCCAAACTCAACTGACAGGCATCAACCACCCACAAAGTTGAAAGAAATCTTGTCATCCCACTGCGAGCCACCGCTCCGGGCCGCAGGTCCTCGGGCCAAGATTCCCGAGTCAACAACCTCGACCGTCCACCCTCGGGTCCGGCTGCCTGCCTCCTCCAGGCGTCTCCTCGCACCCAGCCCACCCGCCCAGCGCCCTCCTCCGCCGACGCCCTGCCCCTTGCGGCCTCACGCCCCGGAGCTGCGGCCTAGGCCGGAACCGCCCACTCCGGCCCTGCAGCGCCCCGCTCCGCCATTCGAGGTGCAGCACTGACCGTTGTACGACTTCCCCTCGTCCGCCATGGCACAGAGAGGTAAGGACGCTCAGGCTGGGGCTGCGACGCTGATAAACGTCCGAACCACCAAGCGCCCAGGCCGAAGCACTCTTACGCCGGGTGCCGCCGCATTTATCCCGAGTAGCACGTCGCGCGCTGTCGACGTCCCTAGGTATTGGGCGGGGACGCGGAGAAGAACGACGCGCTGCGCATGCGCACACAGCAGAACGCAGCTGGGCGGAGCCTGCTCCTCCACACCTCCGAGCGCTGAATGGACAATCCCGGGCCGGTTCGTCCTGTCATCTTTCATCGTCAGCTGACGCTCCTCCGCCAGCTCCAGCGCTAGCGCAGCGAGCTCACCAACGGCCTCTTGTCTGCTCCAGCGTAGAACTCCGAGACGAACGGCTAAACGGGCCGCGCGAACGGCTCCCGAGGAACGAGACACCCAAGCCCAGAGTGGGAGTGATCGCTCATCACACCTAGCGAGATCCAGCCATATTAAAAATGAAAAAAAAAAAAACAGTTCTGCCCCGTACCAGAAGCGGACATTGGGCCTCGCTTTTCTCACCCACAAAATGTGATAACCACCAAACAGAACACTAGAATGGACAGGATCAGGAACTGTGAGTTGATTGATGCCTTTTGTTTTCTCCACAACAGGAACTCAACAAACATTTGGGAAATTTGCGTTTTAAGCATCCCTTTCCTGGAAGTTACTCAGTCACATGAGACTGCATGTGTTGTCAGGCTGTAGAGGACACTCATCCTCACAAACCCCACTCACTGTGTGCTGTGCAAGGTCCCATCATGTCTCAACCAGGCAGAGGTACAGGACCACTTGCTGACAAAATGCCACATCCAGAACTAAACCCCTTGGAGGTTGACTGCAACTCACAGCCACCCTACAGGGCAGAGCAGAACTGCCCCGCAGGGGTTCTGAGGCTGTCATCTTTAGGAATGCAGACGGCCACAGGCCACATTCTTCTCCCGCAGAGCAGCTGAGTGCTTGACCACTGCTCCACCAGGGCCCCTTGAAGAGAGGCCAGGAGGAGAGGCCATCTTCAAATGCCAGGCCAAGAAAAGCCATGGGCTGCCCCAGCCCCCAAATTACTGGGACAGGCCCAGGGTAGGGTGACCGGAATCTGTATAGCTTGAGTTTCCTTTGGGGGGCTGTGGAAGAGGGACTCCCGAGATCTCAGAAAGGGGTGTTTGTGAATACTAGTCAGGAAGTACAGCAGCCTATTGACCTCCCTGGAAGGCAGGGATCTGGGCAGGTCTCTCCTCTGTTCTGCAGTGTCTGGCTTGGATTTGGTGAGGAGCTGGAGCAGGGAACATATTTTTCACTTCACCTTCTGCTACTGGCAGCAGGCAGAACTCCTCCCTCGTCCAGCTCAGAGAAGAACTGGGGTCAAGTGAAGGATGCAGATGAAAGCAGTCCACATGCGGCTTGACATGGTCCGGGAGTTGCCACCAATAGCCGCTCTGGGGTTCTGCTCCTCCTTCTGAAGGAAGTTTTCATGCAAGGGTGGTAACTTGGTTATCTTCTGCCTGAAGGCAGCTGTGTGCAGAGCCCAGAGGCTCCCAGAGTCACTGTTGGCCCAACCCTTCCCATTCCGGTGCTGGGCAGTGGCCTCAGCCCATCTGCTGCCTAGGCCCTTAGACGCTCCCACCCAGAAATGACAACATGGCTAGTGAGGCTGACAGTCTTGCTGTAATTGAGAGAAAACAGGCTGCAGTGCGTCTGGCAGATTGAGAGTCACCAGCAGCCAACGTCAGGGGTTGTGCAGGCAGCAGACGGGCTCAGGGCCCCTGCCTCACATGGTGAAGAGAGAAAGAAGAAAGAGGTCAAGTTCTAACCCAGACGGGAAAATTGGTCCCTAGGGTAGTTTCTCTTCCTCTCCTCACACTCAGGGAGGTGGGGGAAGGGCATCATTTCCCCTTGCTGCCAGAGTTTCCTTTGGGAGAGGTTGGGAAGGGCTTATAAAATCTCTTAGTGGAGACAGCCTCTCCCACCGGCCCCCAGCTGACCTCTGCTCCCTTCCAGCCACTTCACAGCAGAGTCGAAATCCAGAACCGTGTGTTTCATGGACCGGGGGTGGTGAGGAAGGACGGGGTGGCCAGAGGAAAGACGGGGGCTGGGGGTCAAGGGGCAGTGGCCATTCTCAGCAGTTCCAGGAAAACAGGGCGTTTCTCCCCAGCACCCTGCACAGGCTCAGTGGCAGCACTGGCCACCTGCCTTCCCAGGAGGGCTCCAAACCTCCCTGGAGTGCCCCAGAGTGCAGAGCGTTCAGGCAAGGAAGACCACAAAGATGATGAAGAAGACAATGAGGATGAGGAAGATTTTGACCATGAGCCACCGGTTGGAGGTGACTGACTGGAAGTACTTGAGGATCTCTGAATGGGCGGCCTCAACATCCAGCTGGGCTCCTAGCACGTTCTCGTCAATCCTGGGGACAGACGGGAAGACAGGAAACAGAAGGGCACTGGATTAAAAAATATGCAGTTAAATATATAAAGACCAAAGTTTATTCGTGGTTACCAGAGGCAAGAGGGAAGGGGAGGAGGGCTAATGGTGAAGGAGAAATCACATTGACTAAGGGTAGGGTTGCACAGATTATTCTAATTGCTGTCAATAAATTGAATTGGCAAAAGCTGTATGATAGGTATATTTACAGCAACAACAAAGAGCAGCTACTGAGGCTGCTTATGGTAAAACCACATACCTCATGGGATTTGGTTCCTTGGTTTGGAGGTTTAGGGTCATGATTTGGAATATCCCAGTTAATTGGTCTAATAATATTTTTGGTGCTTCTTTTCTACCTCCTAGTTCGTTGCCTAGTGCCTGGGGTCCTAAAAGGTTGCAAAGTGACCATGCAAGACATGAAACTGGTCTCTATCACCAGCACAACAGAAGGAGAGTCAGGAACAGGAGGAGGGTATGAAATGCGTGGCTAAGTGCCTCCTTCAACAAGTGCCTCCTTGGCTGTGAGAGCAGAACTGGGTGATGCCTGGCTACCATTACTGAGCATTTCAGTCAAAGATTCCATAAAAGAACCCTGATCAAAAGGGAGAAAATGCAGAACAGAATTTTGAATTCTCATGGATTTCAGACCTTCTGCAGCCATGGAGGCTAGATGAACCCCTGAAATTATTGCCTTGGAATAATTTTTATACTTTATATAAAAAAAAAGTCTCTGAAGTCATTTTAAAACTAAACAGTAGTTTAACTAGAAAAGAAAAAAAAAAGGTCTGCATAGCATACTACACAAAAACATTATTCTATATCCTACTTGGGTGAGTAGCGACTGGGACCTTAAAAGCTTACATGTGGCCATCGAGATGCAACAATGGGTCTCTCTTCATCCAGAGCAAAGAAGAATGAAGAAAACCAAAGACATAGAAACAATTAGTCCAAGGGACTGGCAGACCACGCAATCCTCAGCCTGTATGACTAGGAAGGAGACTAGAATAACTAGATGGTGCCTGGCTACCACTGTCAACCACTTGGAGGGGGACTGATGCAGGAGATCCTGGATGGAGCAAGAGAACAATGTGGAACAAAACTCAAAATCATAAAAAGACCAGGTTTGCTTCTCTGATAGAGCCTGGTGAGACCCCTGAGACTATGGCCCCTAGCCACCCTTCAGGTCTGGAACTGAACTCACTCCTGTGGCTTCCAGCCACACAGGCATATGGCATGAACATTTACATCAGGCAGATACACTACTTGGAGCTATTAATCATGGAAGAACAGAAGGGCAGTGTTTGCACAGGGAGACAGCTCGGGGGATGGGAGTGCATGACAGGGAAGGACACAGGGAAGAGGTAACTATAGGATGGGAGTGGGAAGAGAGCTGTTCCACTGTGGGGAATTGCAGTCAATGTCATGAGACAAAATGTGTATGCACTGCTGTGTAGAAAATGAATTTGCTCTGTAAACTTTCACCCAAATCACAATAAAAACGTTAAAAAAGGTCTGCCTTGAGCATCATGCTCTTTTAAGAACTATTTATATGGAATCAGACTGACAGCAGTAACTTGAAAGATTAGACAGGAACCTTAATGGGAAGGCATTTATGCTAATGGAGGGTGAGAATGGTTGTACAACTTGGAAGAAATTTCCCTAAATTGATGTTATCAATGTCCCTCAATCATGTATGTAGAAACTGTTGAATTAGTGCATGTTTTGCTATGTATAGTCTCAACAACAAAATAAATAACATTTGAAGATGAAGAATGGTGTCAAGGTGCGTTTACTGACATGGAAAGACAGTCACAATGTTGTTAGGTGCCATCGAGTTGTGTCTGATTCATACTGACCCTGTGCACACCAGAACAAAACACACCTCAGTCCCGTGCCAGATCGTGATACTTGCTATTCTTGAGCCCATCACCATAGCCACTGTACAAGTCACACGATGTGGGTACAAAAGGGTTTATACACAGTATGATCTCACTTGTTGGCAGGGCACAGAAGGCTCAGGCAGGCTCTGTAACAGACTCTTGACTCTGGTTTGCAAACCAGCTTGGTTGCTGATTAGCCTAACGGTCCTCAACCCGCCACTGAGCCCCATGTTTCATTTTCCTGCCAAATGAGGAGCACACACAACCCACCTCTCAGGTCGTTGCCAGTCTTAAATAAAAGATAAAGTGACTGACCCATATAGTAAAGGAACCCCGGTGGCACAATGGTTAAGCACTCGGCTGCTAACCAAAAGGCTGGTGGTTCAAACCGACCCAGCTGCTCCACAGGACACCCCGTCAAGCGCTCCTGTGAGATTAGAGGCTAGAGACCCCGAGGGGAAATTCTACTCTGTCACAGGGGTCACTGTGAATCAAAATCAACAACCCACTGTAGGAGCCCTCAAAATGTGGTGGTGGTGCTGGTATGTGCCGTCAAGTCGGACCCAACTCAGCAACCCCTCCATGGATTTCCGAGGTGGTATCACTATGGAAGTAGATTGCCCAACCTTCCTTCCGAGGAGTGGCTGGTGGGTTTGAACCGGCAGCCTTCTGGTTAGCAGTCAAGTGCCTTAGGTACTATGCTACCGGAGCTTTCAAAATGTTAACTACTGTAACTTTTTGCTCATCAGTATTTACTGATTTTTGGGTAATGAACATAAGCTGCATTTATAATGGAGAAAATGTCCACAGACCATTACAGTCAGGAAACACTGGTTCTAAATAAGATAAAAAGAAAAACTTAACAAGAGAAACAGGAAGTCAGGGGGAAGAACAGCCCTACAGTTGGAAAACACGTCTCTGACAAAAGAAGTGTGAGGTAGGAATTGTAAGCTGTTAATTGGATGCCTCCCCCCACCGCAGGATTATCTGGATCAGTGCTGGCAGTTTCAGTTGAGTGGCTCAGAAGCAAATTTATAGCAGTTGAAACAGAAAAGGGAAATACAGAAGCAGATAAAATGTGTGGGCAACCGTATGCTAAAGAAATTGAAGTTTTTTTGAAAGGATGAAAATTTTGAAACAAAGACATTCATATGTTTAGAGACTTAGACATTCTTATGTACAGAGAAGTTCTTGGAGGCAGGGCAATCTCTTGAGAGAGTGCCAAGGAACGTACAGGATTTCCCAGTCAGGCTGTATATGCAATCCTAAAATCCAAGCAGAAGCCCTGATCTTTGCAAAGGCAGGCCTGGGAGCAGAGACTTTGTGAGCTGCAAGTGACGGAAAACCTGGTGGAGGTTGGCCCTTCAGCTGGAAGGTGACAGGAGGGGTGGGCTAGTGGCTACCAGCCCCCAGGCCTGCAAAGGTGGTCATGAGGACAATCTTAGTGTCTCAAATACAGGAGCCAGGATCATATGTGATTGCCAAATAATGATGGTGAGGCTAACTGAAGTACCAGGCTTCCTGGCTTTTGGCTATAATTACATTTCATAGTGTAGGTGCATTTTTTCTCTTACTGAATAAGTTTATATTGTGGTGATGAAGTCTGTGTGTCAACTTGGCTGGGCCTGGATGAGAGGCTGGGCAGATGAATGTAGTTATTCCCCATGTGAGACTGGTAATTAACTCTATGGTGCAATCTATTGGAGCAGCTGAGTAGGTGCTTTGGGTATATGGTCTGCTTCCCACATATAAGAGACAGCTTTAGGAATGGTCTCTACCTTAAGCATGCTTGAACACTGCATGCAGCCGAGTCTCTGTTCAGCAGCCTGCCGTGCTCTGTCACCCTTGGGACTTTCAGTGGACTTGAATCAATGGCCTGCCCTGTGCTTTGGTAACATCAGTACTGTACCTTTTTACTTGTTAACCTTGGGCTTATCAGCCTCAAGCAGCCAGCAGCTGAGTGAAGAAAAACCTTTAGCTTCAGTGGGCCGGGAGCAGGAGGTAGAGCTGAAGCCTAAGGTTGAGTGAGGGGCTTTCACCCAGTCCTAGAGCCTGGCACTTGAACTTGGACTTAAAGCCTCCAAACTGTAAGAGAATACTCCTGCTTGTTCAAGCCATCCCATTTGTGGTACTAGGTAACCAGGATAGCCATTGAGAGAATGGCTCTGCTTTAAAAAAAAAAAAAAAAAAAAAGACAGACTTAATAAATGCAATCTGGCATAGAAAAGATTATAAACCAGGATCCATCAATGAAAACTGATCAGTGGGAAATTCAGATGATAAAAAAGTCAGCCATCAATGGGCTATTCAGAGGGAGTAGCAGAGGAATTAGGTAACAGAAATGAACGAGGCAGAAACTATCACTTGGGAAGGACAGACCTGAGGGAAACAGGCAAAAGTCGGCCATAGGAGGATGACGAAAGACTGTCTTTTTTTTCTTTTTAATTTTATTGTTATTTGGGTGAAAGTTTACAGAGCAAACTCATCTTCCATGCAGTTCAGATATACTTTGTCTTATGACATTGACTGTAATCTCCCATAGTGCAACAGCTCCCCTCCTACTTCCTCCCCATAGCCACCTCTTCCCTGTGTCCTTCCCTCCCATGCACTCCTGCTCCCCGAGCCATCTCCTTGTGCATACATGGTCCTTCTATTCTCCCATGATCATTCTCTCCAAGGAGCGTATCTACCTAGTGTAAATGTTCAGCTCAGATGTCTGTTTCTTGTTTGGCTGGAAGCCACAGGAGTGGGTTCCATTCCAGACCTGAAGGGTAGCTAGGGACCATAGCCTCAGAGGTTCCACCAGGCTCCATCACACCAGCAAACCTGGTCCCACAAAAGACTGTCTTATGAAGAGAAAGAAACACTTGAGGGGAAAGGATCAAGCAGTCAGAAGCTGGAGTCTGGATGAGCAGGAATGACAGTTAACAACACTGATCTCAGAGTATTAGAAACCAGAGGACTATAATGTGGATATGAGAAGTTGAGGGGGGAAAAAAAAAAAAAGGTTGGCCCTAAGAAGATAATGAGCCTAAGAACTGGAAAGATTACCTGCCTAAGATTAGGGGACCTGGGATTTTGGTTTCCTGAGTTTCCATCTCACCAAAAATTTCCAATGACTGCACAATCTAACAAATAA